CTACCTACCTATCGTATCTACTTATCGTACCTATCTACCTACCTATCGTATCTACTTATCGTACCTATCTACCTACCTATCGTATCTACTTATCGTACCTATCTACCTACCTATCGTATCTACTTATCGTACCTACCTACCGTATCTACTTATCGTACCTATCTACCTACCCATCGTATCTACTTATCGTACCTATCTACCTACCTATCGTATCTACTTATCGTACCTATCTACCTACCTATCGTATCTACTTATCGTACCTATCTACCTACCTATCGTATCTACTTATCGTACCTATCTACCTACCTATCGTATCTACTTATCGTACCTATCTACCTACCGTATCTACTTATCGTACCTATCTACCTACCGTATCTACTTATCGTACCTATCTACCTACCTATCGTATCTATTTTATCGTACCTATCTACCTACCTATCGTATCTACTTATCGTACCTATCTACCTACCTATCGTATCTACTTATCGTACCTATCTACCTACCCGTATCTACTTATCGTACCTATCTACCTACCTATCGTATCTACTTATCGTACCTATCTACCTACCTATCGTATCTACTTATCGTACCTATCTACCTACCTATCGTATCTACTTATCGTACCTATCTACCTACCCATCGTATCTACTTATCGTACCTATCTACCTACCTATCGTATCTACTTATCGTACCTATCTACCTACCTACCTATCGTATCTACTTATCGTACCTATCTACCTACCTATCGTATCTACTTATCGTACCTATCTACCTACCCATCGTATCTATACTTATCGTACCTATCTACCTACCCATCGTATCTACTTATCGTACCTATCTACCTACCTACCGTATCTACTTATCGTACCTATCTACCTACCTATCGTATCTACTTATCGTACCTACCTACCGTATCTACTTATCGTACCTATCTACCTACCCATCGTATCTACTTATCGTACCTATCTACCTACCTATCGTATCTACTTATCGTACCTATCTACCTACCCATCGTATCTACTTATCGTACCTATCTACCTACCTATCGTATCTACTTATCGTACCTATCTACCTACCTATCGTATCTACTTATCGTACCTATCTACCTTACGCATTGTATCCATCTTATCTACCGTATCTTCCTATCATATCTACCTACCATAACTACCTACTGTATCTATCAACCTACCCATCTAAGAGAAAGCTGGCAGAACTGTTAAATTCAATCCTCGCAACATTCTGATCCCTGAAATCCCTGACTGGACACCCCCCCCCCCCCCGACGCATTTTACCCACAAGGCAGGGCTTAGCTAGGTATTAGTAAGTAAGTTGCTGTGCTTTGAAACCTTGTAACATTGTTACTTTTGAAGGATTAACAAACCAGAAGTGTTGCAGCTACTTTGTATCATTTTGTATGTAGTAAAAACCATGGAAAGGTATACAACATATAAGATCTTGTAATTAAAATTATTATTTTTTATATATATATATATTAATGCAATTAGTATTAAAATTATTATATATTAATGTCATTATTTTTTTAAAATTTAAATATTTAAAAAAAATAAATTTTAATAATTACATTTATATCTCTATCTATATCTATCTCCCTAGAAGTCTCTTCTTTTTCATTGAACTTAACTTCCCCTCTAGCCTCCTAATAAATATGTTTTTTTTTTTTTTTATTTTTTTAAAGTGTGGTCTTGTGGGTGAAATGCGTCAGCATAGAATGTCCCAAGCAGGGACTTTGAGATTCAACACGAACAACTTTATTGATCTTTATGAACTGACAAAGTGTGACCCCCTGCTCAGTTTTCAGGCGCCTGATGAGTCCCCTCCCACTGTACAGGCCATGTAATGCGATGATGTCACTGCAGTGCGGCTACTGAGGAATAGATGTATCTACGGTAGTTTTTTTTGTGTGCGGGGGTTCAGCTTTAAATCCATGTGCCCTGCAGGGGGTCATACTGCTTCCTTTCCTCCCCAACCTATATATTCGCTTTGGATCTCTCATTTATAACTCAATCCTCCTGCAGACCGACTCTACAGATGACGAACGTTCCGCATAAAACGCCATAATAAGCGTGACTAATATAAAAACCGTCCCGGCCCGGAAAGTGGAACGTGGCAGAGATGCAGCGTCACCCCATCAGCGCCGCCGCCTCAGTTCTAATCTACGCGGGTGAAATTGGATCATTACTCAGAGACATCAGGAGAGGGATTATCTGAGGTCTGCCGACAGAGGCTGAACAGGAGGGGGGGGGGGGGGGGGGAAATCACAAATCTCCAGGACAGAGGAATAGAAAACCACCCAACACCTAGACAATTCTAACTGCTTATCAGATCCGAGATGGAGGAACGCTTTCCAATAGCGGCCAGATTCAGGACACATTACAGGGGAATCAGAGGGGTCATTACCAGGAACAGGAGCCGCTCTTATCGGGGACACTCATCTACCGGGGACACTCATCTACCGGGGACACTCATCTACCCGGGGACACTCATCTACCCGGGGACACTCATCTACCCGGGGACACTCATCTACCCGGGGACACTCATCTACCCGGGGACACTCATCTACCCGGGGACACTCATCTACCCGGGGACACTCATCTACCGGGTACACTCATCTACTGCCTGCCTCCAAATTATGTGTGTCTAGATACAGAGAACGATCTCCGATCTCTAAAGCCGAACAAATGTGCGCAGAATCCATTGAGATGCAGAACGCCTTAAAGGAAAACTCCAACCAAAAACCAAGTACTGGGTAGGAATCAGCTGATTGAATCCAGATTTTGCGGTCTTAGAAACCTTGGGGGTACGATTTTCCCCTAGTAGTTTGTGTCTCTGCCCCTCCCACAATGGGAAAATTTCCCTTCAGTAGTTTGTGTCTCTGCCCCTCCCACAATGGGAAGATTTCCCTTCAGTAGTTTTGTGTCTCTGCCCCTCCCACAATGGGAAGATTTCCCTTCAGTAGTTTGTCTCTGCCCCTCCCACAATAGGGAGATTTCCCCCTGTACTTTGTGTGTGCCCCTCCCACAACAGGGAGATTTCCCTTCAGTAGTTTTTGTCTCTGCCCCTCCCACAATAGGGAGATTTCCCCCTGTAGTTTGTGTGTCTGCCCCTCCCACAACAGGGAGATTTCCCTTCAGTAATTTGTGTCTCTGCCCCTCCCACAATGGGAAGATTTACCTTCAGTAGGTTGCGTCTCTGCCCCTCCCACAATGGGAGGATTTCCCTTCAGTAGTTTGTGTCTCTGCCCCTCCCACAATAGGGAGATTTCCCCCTGTAGTTTGTGTGTCTGCCCCTCCCACAACAGGGAGATTTCCCTTCAGTAATTTGTATCTCTGCCCCTCCCACAATGGGGAGATTTCCCCCAGTAGGTCACGTTTCTGCCCCTCCCACAATGGGGAGATTTCCCTGCAGTAGTTTTTGTCTACTCCATTTGTCAAATCAAGTGGAAGGAGAAAAAAAATGCCTTTGGACTACCTATAGAGCTACATACTGATCACTTGATATACACTATATTGCCCCCAGTATTGGTCGGCCGGCCTTTCCACGCACATGACCTTTAATGGCCCCCCAGTCTTAGTCCGTCGGGTTCAATATTGAGTTGGCCCCGCCCTTTCCACGCACATGAACTTTAATGGCCCCCCAGTCTTAGTCCGTAGGGTTCAATATTGAGTTGGCTCCGCCCTTTGCAGCTATACCAGCTTCAACTCTTCTGGGAAGGCCGTCCACAAGGTTTAGGAGGGTGTCTATGGGAAGGTTGGACCATTCTTCCAGAAGCACATTTGTCAGGTCAGGCACTGATGTCGGGGGAGGAGGCCTGGCTCGCAGTCTCCGCTCTAATTCATCCCAAAGGTGTTCTATGGGGTTGAGGTCAGGACTCTGTGCAGGACAGTCAAGTTCCTCCACCCCAAACTGGCTCCTCCATGTCTTTATGGACCTTGCTTTGTGCACTGGTGCGCAGTCATGTTGGAACAGGAAGGGGCCATCCCCAAACTCCTCCCACAAAGTTGGGAGCATGGCGCCTAAGGAGTTCCCTTCACTGGAACTAGGGGGCCAAGCCCTTCCCCTAAAAAAAAACACCCCCACACCATAATCCCTCCTCCACCAAACTTTACACTTGGCACAATGCAGTCAGGCAAGTACCGTTCTCCTGGCCACCGCCAAACCCAGACACGTCCCATCGGATTGCCAGACAGAGAAGCGCGATTGGTCCCTCCAGAGAACACGTCTCCTCTGCTCTAGAGTTCAGTGGCGGCGTGCTTTACACCACGGCATCCGACGCTTTGCATTGCACTTGGTAATGGAAGGCTTGGATGCAGCTGCTCAGCCATGGAAACCCATTCCATGAAGCTCTCTACGCACTGTTGTTGGGCTCATCTGAAGGCCACACCAAGTTTGGAGGTCTTTAGCTATTGACTCTGCAGACAGTTGGCGACTTCTGCGCACTGTGCGCTTCAGCATGCGCTGACCCCGCCCTGTCATGTGACGTGGCCTACCACTTGGTGGCTGAGTGGCTGTTGTTCCCAGTTGCTTCCACTTTGTTATAATCCCACTAACAGTTGAGCGTGGAATATTTAGTAGCCAGGAAATGTCACGGATGGACTTATTGCCAAGATGGCCACCTATCACGGGACCACGCTTGGAGTCACTGAGCTCCTGAGAGCGACCCATTCTTTCACCAATGTTTGTAGAAGCCGTCTGCATGCCTAGGGGCTTGATTGTATACACCTGTGTCCATGGAGGGGAGGGGATTGGGACACCTGAATCACATGATTGGGAGGGATTGGAAAGACCTGAATCACATGATGGGAGGGGAAGACCTGAATCACATGATTGGGAGGGGATTGGAAGACCTGAATCACATGATTGGAAGACCTGAATCACATGATTGGAATTGGAACACCTGAATCACATGATGAGGGGATTGGAAGACCTGAATCACATGATTGGGAGGGGATTGGAAGACCTGAATCACATGATTGGGAGGGGATTGGAAGACCTGAATCACATGATTGGGAGGGGATTGGAACACCTGAATCACATGATTGGGAGGGGATTGGGAAACACATGATTGGGAATGGAACACCTGAATCACATGATTGGGAGGGGATTGGAACACCTGAATCACATGATTGGGAGGGGATTGGAACACCTGAATCACATGATTGGGAGGGGATTGGAACACCTGAATCACATGATTGGGAGGGGATTGGAACACCTGAATCACATGATTGGGAGGGGATTGGAACACCTGAATCACATGATTGGGAGGGGATTGGAAACACCTGAATCACATGATTGGGAGGGGATTGGAACACCTGAATCACATGATTGGGAGGGGATTGGAGACCTGAATCACATGATTGAGGGGATGGAAGACCATCACATGATTGGGAGGGGATTGGAACACCTGAATCACATGATTGGGAGGGGATTGGAACACCTGAATCACATGATTTGGAGGGCAGGGACAATACTTTTGGCAATATAGTGTATCTGTAGAGAGCTATATATTGATCACTGGATGTATCTAGAGAACTATGTATTGATCACTGGATGTATCTATAGTTATATATTTATCACCGGCTGTATCTATAGTTATATATTGATCATTGGATGTATCTATAGTTATATATTGATCATTGGATGTATCTATAGTTATACATTGATCGCCGGATGTATCTATAGCTACATATTGATCTTTGCAGTGCTGAGCTCATGAACACCGGATATTCCTATCTGCTGAATGTACTTCATTTCATCTCACTTTGGGGCTCTGATGCGATCTGGGACGGCTCCGCCTACCACAGATGACAGAGCGCTATGTAACCTGTCACTCACCTGTGTGATAAAAGGTTAAAAACACCAGAAGGATCCCAGAGAAGATATTACTGAGGAAGGTGACGAATCCGCAGGTGATCCCCTCCGGCACCGGGTACACCGTCTCCACGAACATCTCAAAGAAGATGGGCACCGAGCCGTTCAGGAAAACGCCGAGCAGAATACACGAGGCGTACAGAGTCGCTGCAAGACACAACACAACCTCCATTACACAGGAAGAGGAGATGCAGCCGGATTAACAGACAACTATTAATACTATAAATTATCATTTCCCATCATTGTGTCGCCTGCACTGGAGTCCAACTGGTTCTATAGCCTCAATAAAGAGAACCTGTCATTGCTGGCTTGGCTTCCATTCTGAGTCTGTCATCCTCGCTATGGCATCCCTACCATTCACTGGCTGCATGCTTGCTCTAAGACTCCCTGAGCTGTGAAGACGGAGGATGACAGTCATTGAATTTTCATCTGGCAATGGCAGGTTCCCTTTAAGGCTGCATTCCAGGCAAGCTGCTAAATACGCGAATAAACACTTGGGAAATGCGTTACCTGCTAAAGGTTTTGTATTTCTGTCAAGCCAGTCATGAGATTTACACAACTCTGCATGGGCAAGGGGCCTGATCCTTTTCTGCTGCAGTTCCACTTTCACTTACAAGTCCCCTCCCCACACCACGATCAGGCAGTGATGAAGTCATCTCTTGGTCTCTGATCTCTCCTCCTATCAGCATGCTTCTTGAAATAAAGCATACCTGAATGGTTCCTTGTGCTGCTTCTGAGCCCTGCTGTACAGTAGACTGTAAGAAGCTGCCACCAATAAACATGAATTACATTTTTAAATAAACACTTTCTGGGCCTCTGTGCTTCCCTATGCAATGCAGGCAGATCAAGCCTGGTAGTGGTGGTGGGGGCGCTGGCAGCATCACCCTTCATCAGTACTCCTCTCAAGAGCCCTCAAGTTCTGATGTAAGCAGTGGGCTGGCTTTGATGTGTGATGTCAGTCGGGAGGACTGGGTGTTCCTAGGCATCACCCACTTGGGATGTAGCGCCTCCATGACTGAAGCCTGACAGATGAAAAGGGTGGCCAGGAACAGTCAGGCTGGGGAGAAAAGTCCTAGATGATGCTGGACGTCTTCCAGCCAGGAAATGAGGTGGGCTCCAAATAGGAGGCGGAGCTCTGACTTACTGCAGCTTCTAATACAAGAGAAGCTCCCAGAGTTCAGTGACATCAGAGGAAGTTGTTTCAGTCCAGGGGAGGAGCCGGTACACCTGTCCAACAAGATTGAAGGGGGAGGAGCAGGTACACCTGTGCAACAAGACTGAAGGAGAGGAGCCGGTACACCTGTGCAACAAGACAATGGGAGGAGCCAATACACCTGTGCAACAAGACTGAAGGGGGAGGAGCCGGTACACCTGTGCAACAAGACTGAAGGGGCAGGAGCCGGTACACCTGTGCAACAAGACTGAAGGGGGAGGAGCCGGTACACCTGTGCGACAAGACTGAAGGGGAGGAGCCGGTACACCTGTGCAAGATTGAAGGAGAGGAGCCGGTACACCTGTGCAACAAGAATGAAGGGGGAGGAGCCGGTTCACCTGTGCAACAAGACTGAAGGGGAGGAGCGGTACACCTGTGCAACAAGACTGAAGGGGCAGGAGCCGGTACACCTGTGCAACAAGACTAAAGGGGGAGGAGCCGGTACACCTGTGCGACAAGACTGAAGGGGAGGAGCCGGTACACCTGTGCAAGATTGAAGGGGAGGAGCCGGTACACCTGTGCAAGACTGAAGGGGAGGAGCCGGTACACCTGTGCAAGACTGGAAGGGAGGAGCCGGTACACCTGTGCAAGACTGAAGGGGAGGAGCCGGTACACCTGTGCAAGACTGAAGGGGAGGAGCCGGTACACCTGTGCAAGACTGGAAGGGAGGAGCCGGTACACCTGTCCAACAAGATTGAAGGGGGGAGGAGCAGGTACACCTGTGCAACAAGACTGAAGGAGAGGAGCCGGTACACCTGTGCAAGACAATGGGAGGAGCCAATACACCTGTGCAAGACTGAAGGAGGAGGAGCCGGTACACCTGTGCAACAAGAAGCCGGAACCTGATGCAAGGGAGGAGCCGGTTCACCTGTGCAACAAGACTGAAGGGGGGAGAGAGCCGGTACACCTGTGCAACAAGACTGAAGGGGAGGAGCCGGTACACCTGTGCAACAAGACTGAAGGGGAGGAGCCGGTACACCTGTGCAACAAGACTGAAGGGGAGGAGCCGGTACACCTGTGCAACAAGACTGAAGGGGAGGAGCCGGTACACCTGTGCAACAACTGAAAGACTGAAGGGGCAGGAGCCGGTACACCTGTGCAACAAGACTGAAGGGGGGGAGGAGCCTGAAGGGGAGTACGGTACACCTGTGCGACAAGACTGAAGGGGGAGCCGGTACACCTGTGCAAGAAGCCGGTACACCTGTGCTACAAGACTGAAGGGGCAGAAGCCACGGTACAACACCTGTGCAACAAGACTGAAGGGGAGAGGAGCCGGTACACCTGTGCAAGACTGGAAGGGAGGAGCCGGTACACCTGTGCAAGACTGAAGGGGAGGAGCCGGTACACCTGTGCAAGACTGAAGGGGAGGAGCCGGTACACCTGTGCAAGACTGAAGGGGAGGAGGCCGGTACACCTGTGCAAGACTGAAGGGGAGAGGCCGGTACACCTGTGCAAGACTGAAGGGGAGGAGCCGGTACACCTGTGCAAGACTGAAGGGGAGGAGCCGGTACACCTGTGCAAGACTGAGGGGAGGAGCCGCTACACCTGTGCAAGACTGGAGGGGAGGAGCCGGTACACCTGTGCAAGACTGGAAGGGGAGGAGCCGATGGCCCTGTGCAAGACTGAAGGGGAGGAGCCAGTACAACTGTGCAGACTGGAGGGGAAGTTCAGCATCCCAGCACTGTGACTGAAAGCTGTGCAGACTGTAAACCATAGAGCACCCCGGGGGCTCTGGGACAGACGGGCAGACTTATACACAGGGACCTCGGGCCGTCTACATTAACATTCTGCTGCCGCTCACATCTAAGAAGCGCGGAATATACGAAGATGAAGATAAATCTTGGCGTCTATAAGGAGCCGTATTTCTGAAATATTTCTACAGCCTCTGAAAACACGCTGAAATTTTATGTCCAACTTTAATACCGAACCGAAGAATTGAGAGAAAGGTAATTCATTAAATGCCGAACGTTTTTTATATTCTAACATTAAAAATGCAAAGTAGTTGAAAGGAAAACTGTGATACCCAGAAGGAGATTGTCATCGCTTTACTAATGAGCCTTGTGATGCAGGAACTCCTTCCAGACAGCACAGCCAGGTCTGAGATTTCAATGCAGAATACAACCTGGTCCAGGAAACGAGACAACGCCGCCGCCTGCCCCTGGGCGACAACGCTGTGCCCCTGGCGAGACAACGCCGCCGCCTGCCCCTGGCCAACGCCCACTGGAACGCCAGTCACTGAAACAGCTGACGCATATTGAAGAGGTTACGTTTCAATGTACAGTCTGATCACTGGGGGAGGGGAGACTGAGGAAATGCCTTCTCCTACAAAGTTACAGTGTACGGTCTGATCACTGGGGGAGGGGGAGACTGAAGAAGTGCCCCTTCCTCCTCCCACAAAGTTACAATGTACAGTCTGATCACTGAGGGAGGGGAGACTGAGGACACGCCTCCTCCTTCTACAAAGTTACAGTGTACAGTCTGATCACTGGGGGAGGGGAGACTGAGGAAATGCTTCCTCCTCCCTCAGGAGAGGAGACTGTAACTTTGTAGGAGGAGGAAGATAAATTTCCTCAGTCTCCCCTCCCCCAGTGATCAGACTGTACATTGTAACTTTGTAGAAGGAGGAGGAGGCATTTCCTCAGTCTCCCCTCCCCACTTTGTAGTGAGTCTCCCCTCCCCCAGTGATCAGACTGTACATTGTAACTTTGTAGCAGGAGGAAGATAAATTTCCTCAATGTACAGTCTGATCACTGGGGGGGGGGAGACTGAGGAAATGCCTCCTCCTTCTACAAAGTTACAATGTACAGTCTGATCCTGGGGGAGGGGAGACTGAGGAAATGCTTCCTCTTCCTCCGGGAGAGGAGACTGAGGAAATTTCTCCTCCTCCTCCTACAAAGTTACAATGCACAGTCTGATCACTGGGGGAGGGGAGACTGAGGAAATGCTTCCTCTTCCTCCGGGAGAGGAGACTGAAAGTTACAAGTTGTACAGTCTGATCACTAGGGGAGGGGAGACTGAGGAAATGCCGCCTCCTCCTTCCCACAAAGTTACAATGTACAGTCTGATCACTGGGGGAGGGGAGACTGAGGAAATGCCGCCTCCTCCTTCTACAAAGTTACAATATTCAGTCTGATCACTGGGGGAGAGGGGAGACTGAGGAAATGCGCCTCCTCCCTCTAGGAGACTGAGTTCCTCCTACAAATATACATGTACAGTCTGATCACTAGGGGAGGGGACACTGAGGAAATGATTGCTTTGGCATGCAGCAGACCGATGACATCATCTCGGCCTAGGCTGGAGCTTTTCTAGACACCTACCCAGAAGCTGTATATTGTGAGATATCAGGAATTTGTTTGGGCAGACTTGTTGAGCGATCGTTATTTTGCCAACCTTGGAGTCCCTCTGCAGCACGTAATTTATGCCGATGTACAGAAGGAAGACAAAATACAATATTTACAAGAATTTTCTGGTGCACAGCAATCTGCAAAATAAATATTTCTGGGAAGCGAGACACAATTGCTGCGTGTCGGCATATTCCAGCACGGAACACGAGACGGATGGCCCCTAATGGACAATTCTTCAATCAGGACGATTTACGAGTCATTAGTTCGCAAGGTCCTACAAAGCCATTTGCCGCCGACAACGCAAATCAGTATTGTCAGCGACATTCGGTGAGAGGAGGCCGACCTCAGAATTATCCCCCTTAATAGAACAAATACAACTGCTTAGTCTTTCAGGCAAAGAATTCCCCGTAATCGATGTAATAAACATGTAAAAGGATTCCTGCAGGACAGATCGGTGGAACGACAAGATGTTCTACCATAAAATCCTTTTCTTTGAGGGACACAAGAATCCACATACAGTCAGGTTATACTGCCAGCTGCAAGAGGATTGGCCACTGGCAAACAGAAAATTTGTAGGCCATCGCTGGAAA